CAATGACACAGACTTTAAATATCATTTTTAAAAAGATTTATCTATTTATTTGAAAGCCAGAATCCCAGAGAGAGAGGGACAGTCAGAGAGAGAGAGAGAGAGAGAGATCAGGATTCTATTCTCTGGTTCACTCTCCATATGGCTGCAATAGTTGGGGCTGGGCCAGGCTGAAGCCAGGAGCCAGGAACTCCATACAGGTCTTCCACATGGGTGGCAGGGATCTAAGTATTTGGGCCATCTTCTGTTACTTTCCCAGGCACGTTAGCAGAGAGCTGGATCAGAAGTGGAATAGGCAGGAGTTGAATCAGCACTCTGATAAGGGGTGACAACATTGCAGGCAGAGCTTTTACCTGCTACACCACCATGGTTTTGTCAGTGAATAACATGATTCAGAGACATTTACATAATGCCACATATATATTATAAATTTTATTATATTTTACTGCCGTATTGTATCGTTTTGGCTATCCATACTTGATTCGGTCATTTGTTGTACTTGGTGAGCCAATAGTTAGTCATTCAGTATCTACCTTTTTTTATATTGTTAAACTAAAAATATTGACATTCTGCTATAACAACATTTATATTTGGGCTTTTCTCTTTGTTTAATTCTAAAAATTAAAAAAAGAATTATTTATGACTTTATAAATATCATTTATGTAACCAATTTTTCTAGTTTGCTGTGGAGATGTCATACTTGAAACCCCACCCTGTGATGTTCTGAGTTGAATCCACTGTTCCTTGCATCTTTTGCCTTCCAATTTCCTGGTTAGCAACCAAATTTTATTAAACCATGTACTTATGTTTCCAATAAAACTATGAATGACAAATAAATTCTACATCTTTTCATGCCTGATAGCATTTTTATTTTGCTTTCATGACTGATGGCCATGAAAGAGTTCTATATATTTTTTTTTTTTTTGAGATTATTTATTTTTGTTTGAGAGGCAGAGTTACAGAGAGGGAGTGACAAAGAGAAAGGTCTTCCATCTGCTGGTTCATTCCCCAGATGGCTGCAAAGGTTGGAGCTAAGACAATCTGAATCCAGGAGCCGGCCTCCAAGTTACGTATTTGTGAATAGTAATAATTATCCTTGGGGCCAACACTGTGGCAGAGTGGGTTAAGGCATCACCTGCAGTGCCGGCATCCCATATGGGCACTGGTTCAAGTTCTGACTGCTCTATCTCCCTGCTAATGTGCCTGGTAAAGCAGTGGAAAATGGCCCAAATGTTTGGGCCCCTATACCCATGCGGGAGACCCAGATGAAGCTCCTGGCTCCTGGCTCCTGGCTTCAGCCTGGCCCAGCCCTGGCCGTTGTGGACATTTGGGAAGTGAACCAGCAGATAGGTATCTACCTCTCTCTGCCTCTTCCATTATGTAACTTTGCCTTCAGATAAATAAATATTTTAAAAATTATCTTTTAGAATTGCAATTTTTTTTCTTATTTTAATGGTAGAAGTTTCTGACAGCCTGACCTTGGGTCAGTTTTTTTTTTTTTAAACAAATTATTTATTTATTTATTTTCATGAATTTTAAAGTAGAAAGAGAGAGAGAGAGGGAGAGAGGCATATCTTCCATCCACTGGTTCCTTTCCCAAATGCCAAATGCCTCCAACAACTAGAGCTGGGGTAGGTTGAAATCAGGAGCCTAGAACTCCATTCAAAGTGGGTGGCAGAGGCCCAAGCACTTGGGCCATCATCTACTGCCTCCTATGATGAATTGGCAAGAAGCTGGTTTGGAAGTAGAACAGACAGGACTTAAACCAGCGCTTTGATATGAAACGCAGGTGTCCCAAGTTGTGATTTAATCAGCTGTGCCACAATGTCTACTCCTTGAGTCAGTTTTTGCCTATTTGTTCTGTTTCTACTCAGTGGACTATTTTATGATTTTCCTTGAACCATTTGAGGACAAATTTTAAGCAATATATTTAGAGGTGTGTCTTTTTCATTAATTCTGTTAAAATCTTGATAGCCCCATTCTCTGTAAAGAATTATGTTTCTTATACCTAGAAGATGTTTTCTTTTTATTTGTTTTGGTAATTTACCCTTTCATTTTCTCTGTGGTTCTTTCTATCTCTGCCACTTGATGTTGCGCCTTTTGGGTCTATTCTTTGTATGTTACCTTTTCTAACATATATTACATCTATTTGTATTCTTTAATTTCAAAGAGATTTTCCTGATTCAATTTTCTAATATTTCTATTAAAATTTCCAGTTTTAAAATAGCATCTCGGGCCGGCGCCGCGGCTCACTAGGCTAATCCTCTGCCTTGCGGCGCCGGCACAGCAGGTTCTAATCCCGGTTGGGGTGCCGGATTCTGTCCCGGTTGCCCCTCTTCCAGGCCAGCTCTCTGCTGTGGCTCAGGAGTGTAGTGGAGGATGGCCCAAGTGCTTGGGCCCTGCACCCCATGGGAAACCAGGAGAAGCACCTGGCTCCTGCCTTCGGATCAGGTGAACCAACATCAAAGGAAGACCTTTCTCTCTGTCTCTCTCTCTCACTGTCCACTCTGCCTGTCAAAAAAAAAAAAAAAAAAAAAATAGCATCCCATTATTATTTATATAGCTGCAATATCTTTCTACTTTTAAGAATTCTAATTAGAAATACTTTAAGTAGGTTATTTGTCCTTATATGAACTTTTTCTACTAATGTTTCATAATTATTTATTTATTTGAAGGGCAGAAACACAAATATAGAGACAAATAGAAAGACATAGGGAGAGCTTCTGTCCACGAGACCACTCTCCAAATGCCTGCAATATGGGATTGGGCCAGGTGGAGCCAGGAGCCTTGAACTCAATCTGAGTCTCCCATGTGGGTGTTAGGGATCCACATACCTGAGCCATAACTGTTGCCCCCCAGGCTGTGCAGAGTGAGGAAGCTGGAATTAGAGTTGGGACTGGAGCACAGACACTCTAATATGGAATGTGGGCATCCCAAAAACTGTGCCAATACCTGGCCCTCTACTGAATTTGTTATCATTCTGTCTTTATTTTATTCTAGTCTTCTCTTTTGTACTGCAGATTTTAATGAAATATCTAGTCTGCCTTGCTCATACACTCTACATCTTCTGATTTCATCTCAAGATACATTTCTTAAAGCCTCTAAGCTTCACCAAATTATACCTGGCCCTGCTCAATACTCTCTCACTATATTCTCTCTCTCTCTCTGTCTCTCTCACTCTCTCTCCTTTTATCTCTGTGTGCTTTCACTGGAGTATAAGTCCAGTGAAGACAATGAATATATCTGTATATGCCTGTTTTGCAATTATTTTATTACTCAGAATGTAACATGGTACTGCTTACAAACTTGATCATTGTCTTATGAATGATTGATTTAACATAAATATATTCAGAATTTGAGCCTAGTCCAGTCAATAATAAAGCAAGGATCACTTTGTTCTTATTCCTTGTTGCATATACATTGTTTTGGAGTACATTTCTGAGTGCTTCATATAGTCTAAAACAGGATTTGGATTTAGAATTTTCTAAGAGTGATAAAAATGATTATAACCTTAAAAATCAACATAACTTCAAACAGAATGCTTATCTGCCTATTTTGTTTTAGCTTTTCCAAAATACCAAAAAAATGCTGTTATGGAAGATTTTGACTACATGTAGTAGAGAATAGAGATAAACAACCCATCACGAGCAGTTTTATAAATCTACCCACTTACTTCCATAAAGACATAACATTATTTGGAAGATAATTCCAGACATAATATAATTTGATTTAATTCATTATAATTATTGAATATAAATTGAAATAATATATTTCAATTTAATTCATAAATTGAAATAATACATTTCAATTTAATTCAATATAATTATATTGTTATGAAAATCTAAAACATAGTGACTTTATGAAAACATTGATGCCTGAATTGGGTGGGTGGGTGGAGGTTGTGATAAAACAAAGACATAAGCCTCAGCCATTCTAGCTCATTGCCCAAAAGATAGATAAAATCGGCATTTATCCCTTATCTCTATATCCTTTGAAGTCCTTGAGTTTATTCCTTATCTGTGAATCCCAATTCAGACTCACATCATATTGTTCCCCACCCCCTGCATTATTCCCCAGGTTTGGAAGCCAGCAGGCCAAACTTGAAGAACCTGTATGAAGGAATTCACCTCTATCAACTGCCCCACCGCACTCCAGACCCCTTGTCTACCTAAGAAATCCCAGCCCCTGGGGTCTGAGCCCTCTGACATGTGTTTGGTATGTGAGCAGTCTGGCAGTTGGTCACTCACCTCTGCGGATTTATTTTCTTTGAATAAATTTGGTCTGGCTGTGAGTTCATATCCTGTCTTCTCTCTGTTTCGGTGCCCACTGTGAGGAGATACCAATCTATACTCCTTTTCCTAATGGGTGGTAAAGGAAAAGTATGTGGACCACAGGCAGAGAGACTTAGCTTCTGCTAAGATGTAAACAGTTATTAGCAGGTTATACTTGGTTGTTGTTGTGTTACTGAGCATGGAACATGATCTGAGAAATGAGATTAAAAGATCCTGAACTGTAAGGGTCTCCTATTCTGTTATGGATTGAAGAGAAATTGTCTCCCCCAAACTCATGCAGAGGTTTAAACTCTGAAGCGTTGTGGTTGTGTTAAAGTGGATGGATTAAGGGCAAAGACTTATCTAATTATGGCATCTGAGAGTTGGGTCTAGTGGAGGTCTTTGGGTCACTTGGGGATGCCCTTTGTGGGGTGGTTATCCTGAGGGGGTGGTTATATGAGTACAACTTGGCCTGGCTGTTTCTCTTTCATGGTTCACCATGTGATCCATTCTCTACCTCTGTATCCAATGCTGCCAACTCCATCAGACACCAGGCTGTGGGCTGTCTGATCTTAAATTGTGACCTCCAAACTGTGTAAGTCAAAATAAACCCTTTCTCTCCCAAGAAGCTTGTTGCAGGTATTTTTGTTAAAGTGATGAAAGTGGACTATTACATACCCTTAGTCACAGTCTTAGTCGGACTTGATATGAAAACCAGGAAAAAAATTCAACAACAGATTTATTAGGGGATATTTATTGCCTCCATGGAGATATTGGATCAAGGTCATTGAGGGATTATGTAGCTGGAAGAGCAACCTTAAGGAATCTCACATTAGGTAACACTTGAGGAAAGAAAATTGAGGGAAGAATTCCAAGCATAAGTGAACTCTGGGTGAATGTAGCACCTTAAGTTCCATGAAAGAGGTGAGAAGAGAAATGATTGGAAGAGACACAAAATGTGATGAACCAGGCCAGAAAATAGTGCTAGGTTGTCCAGCACATTGACTCTTCTGCTTTTGTAGATGGACAATGTACCTGCAAAAATGGGACAGACATGAGATTGATGAGGGCTTTCTGTGACATCACTATGCCATTTTCCAATTATCCTACAACTTTACAATCATATTTATGTCTACAACATCCTTACACTTTTGTTCTTCCTTTTTTGTGGCTGAATCCTTACCTTCACTACCAGGGTGTGATTCACAAGGGTCCTTGCTGTCGGGAGGCACCACCTGAGCGCAGTCCTCGGATGATGAGGATGGTGCCTACTATGATGCCCACGAGGCCCACAGCCAACCCCAGGGCACAGACCACAGTCTCTGTCAGCTCTGACATGGGGGCTGGGATCTCAGGTTCTGTGAAAGTGAAGTTGCAGAGGTCAGAATACAGAGTATGGGTTTGTGAGTCTATCTGTGGAATAGGGTAGGGGAGTTCTGCAAAGACAAGAAGCACCAGGCTTAGGAAGCAGAACAAAGTTTATCATTAGAACCCCTTCTAAAAGTATGGAAAACAAGTTTTGGAACATGAGAGTTATGGGCTAAAAGGCAGGATGTTTTTGACTTGATAGACAAGAAGGCATCAAAAAGAAGTGGAACTCATACCTACCCCAGTGTCTCAGAAGTGGCTTCTCCAGGCCCCAGTGCTCCACTCTGCAGTCGTAAATATCATCAGCAGAAGGGAGGAAGGTGAGGTAGCCGATTTTGAAGAAGGCATGATCACTCTTGGAGAGGAAGCTGGTCTCAGAAACACCTTCTGTGACTGGGTGCCCATTGATCAACCACGAGATGTTGATCACAGGAGGAAAGATGTTGTCCACAAGACAGATGAGGGTGTTGGGCTGCCCCAGCCTCACAGGGGCCTTGGAGAACACTGTCACCTCAGGAACTTCTGTGGTGAGGAAACAGCACTGGTGTGAGTTGCTGGTAGCTCTGTCCTGGGCTTCTGCACTGCACCATGGAGGAGCCCTCCCACCAGAACTTCCCAACTGATAGTTGAAGAGCTCTTGTTTCCCTTCTACTTGGGAAACACTGGCAATTGCCAATGTTTCAGCAATGTGCCCTACTGTGGAATGCTTGTGAAGGTATGAGAACTAGGGGACTTCTTGAAGGACGCAAGAAAATATTTATGAGAGAAGGACTTGGTATTACATGGAAATATTTGAATTTTGAGATGAGAGAGGATAAGAGTTCAGTAATAACTGTGAGAAGATCTGGGATTGCCTTGGAAAGGAGATAGTTTTATATAAGGATGAGTGGGTATCTATCCTTAGGGAAGAAGGGAGAGAGACCTGTTATGAAAGGATGGATTCAAGATGGTGACACTTACTGTTGACAGCAGCAGTAGAGTTGGAGCGTTTAATCATGATGTCCAAGTTGTATTTTATTGTGGCTATGTTTCCCAGTGCACCCTGTGGATCAAAACTTGTAAATTCGCGAAACATAGGCAGGCTCCAGACAGTCTCCTTCTTATCCAGGTCCACATAGAACTCTTCATCTCCATCAAATTCATGGGTGTACTGGCCAGAGGGACCATAAGACTGGTAGACGTTTATGCCATAGGAGCCAATGTGGTCAGCTGATGAGTGAAAGATGAGACACAAAAGGAAAAAAAAAACTTATTAAACAAAGTGACAAAAGAAACTCACTTCCAAATGCTGTGGGTTTCATCTTTGGCAAAGACTCTGGACAAAATTCTCAATGCCTGCTTGAGCCTCCCCTTGCATTGGTAGTTGCCCAGTCAGAATGCAGTCTTCCTTTCCCACTATCACGTGTGCCCCACGAGAGCAGAATGTCACGTCTTCTTTACTGCTATTCTAACTCAGTGTCTGGCATATTATAAGCTTGTGATAAATATTGCATTGGATGGAAGAAGAAATGAATGATCATAATATTTAGCTTTCTTCTCAGAGATTCAGTTCGTTTCCTTCTTCTTCCTAACTTTAATCAGTTAATAACACATTGACTATGGCTCCTTTTCCCAGAACCAGCTCAGAGCGGCTTTTTCAATACTGACATCCTTTCCTTTTTTTTTTTTTTTTTAATAACCAAGGGAAAGCACAAGGAATTATTATTTTAAAAGTTTTACATAACTATTATAAAGTATAGAAAAGGATATTAAAAAAATAACAATAGCACCGGTGACACGGCTCACTAGGTTAATCCTCCACCTAGCGGCGCCGGCACACCAGGTTCTAGTCCCGGTCGGGGAGCTGGATTCTGTCCCAGTCGCTCCTCTTCCAGTCCAGCTCTCTGCTGTGGCCTGGGAGTGCAGTGGAGGATGGCCCAAGTCCTTGGGCCCTGCACCCGCATGCAAGACCAGGATGAAGCACCTGGGTCCTGGCTTCGGATCAGTGCAGTGCGCCGGCCGCAGTGCGGCAGCCACAGTGGCCACGGGGTGTGTGTGTGTGTGTGTGTGTGTGTGAACCAATGGAAAAGGAAGACTTTTCTCTCTGTTTCTCTTTCTCTCACTGTCTACTCTGCCTGTAAAAAAAAAAAAAAAAAAAAAAAAAAAAAAAAAAAAAAACCAGCTTTACAAAATACACAAAAACTAAACAATGCTTCTAGGTCTCTGTTCTGCTAATTGTAGTGATCCTTAGGGGAGACTATCTGGTTTCTCTGAAATTAAAAAAAAAAATGGAAACTTTATTCAGTTTTAGAGTTCTGTCATTCACCACCCCATTTTTCCTCTCCCTTTTCTGACTTAATACTTATTCTCAGTTGAAGGCCCAGTAAATCGAGGCTCTTTTCCTCCAGTGGACAGTGTGCATTTCTGAGGATGCCAAAGCAGAATGGCAACTGATGCAATCTGTTTCTTCCTAAACACACCTAACTGGACATTTTTATTAAGATATCTTTGAACCTTTAACATTCCTTTTTTTTAAAAAGATTTATTTATTTATTTGAAAATCAGAGTTACATAAAGAGAGAAGGAGAGGCAGAGAGAGAGAGAGAGAGAGAGAGGTCTTCTATCAGCTGGTTCACTCCCTAATTGACCACAATGGCTGGAGATTTGCCGATCCGAAGCCAAGAGCCAGGAGCCTCCTCCAGGCCTCCCATGCGGGTGTAGGGACCCAAGGACTTGGGCCATCTTCCACTGCTTTCCCAGGCTTAGCAGAGAGCTGGATCAGAAGCAGGGCAGCCAAGACTTGAACCAGCACCCATATGGGATGCCAGCACTGCAGGAGGCAGTTTTACCTGCTACACCACAGCACTGGCCCTAAATCTTTAACATTTCATCTTTCCTTGTGTCTTCGTTTACTGAATATCAACAAGTGGCAGACAAAGCAGGGAGTAAGGGGGAGAACACCAGCAGGCAAGGTCTCCCCCATCACGAATCACTGACTAGCTGTTGAGTCAGGCAAGTAAAGGAGCAGACATGATATGGTGTGGTGAGTTCCGTGGGAAGGATATTGACAGCTGTACAGCTTAACAACCTCCACAGAATCTGCCAGTCAAACCAAGCCCAGGATCTGTTTTGATATTTGAAATAAAGTTGTCTTTTAAAACTTCCTGTATATAACTATTCTATCCTGGAGTTTTTTTTTTTTTTTTTTTTTTTTTTTTTTTAGCTTAGTCACCAGACTTCTTAGCTAAGTCCTCCTAGTAACTTGGCTATGACCACATTATGGCCTCCAACTCTTTCATTTTGGTGTCTTGCTCTCCAAGATTATTGTTCTCTTCTGACTCACTCTCTGCTTTACCCAGCAAGATCACCTTTGTTGGTCACTTAACAGACCATCCAACAAAGCCTTCATATACATACCATAAATCTTGACTCCCTTTTCAAGTATGAACATAGGCAATCATATTTTTCATGTGGAACTTGTCCTAGGCTGCTGAGCATTGCTGGAGGACATCACACTCCTGGGCCCAGACCTGCTTTCTTGCACTACATTCTGTTTCCAGCAGTAGTGTGTGCAACCATTAGGGGGCAGAAAGCACAACTTTCCATCTTTTAGTCCCTAAAACTTAGTTCATTGTGCACTCAAAAATGTATGTTGAATGACAGTTCCTATTGAGAATCGGAGATTAGGGATAAGGCTAGCGGGCACATGGGTAGCAGCTTCTGCATATGAAAGTCAGGGTCAGTGATGACCATGGTTGCAGTAAGACTTGTGAAGTCCATGCACTGTTGCTTTCATGGACACACTTCTCCAAAAAATATTGAAAATCATGTTTTATGATAATACTAATGTAAAGACACTTACAATAAGGTTGAATTAAAATTTAAAACATTTTCTGAGATGCTGTAACTTCATTTTTCTTCTAATATTAAAAAGAGTTAAACATTTTCATGTAGCCCTACAAGAATCATGGGCCCTCAACACTGTGCCCACTGTGGCAAATGGATAGGTTGAATCTGACCAGGATATTCCAGTGTGATATTGAAGACAGGAAATGCAGAACAAAGAAGCCAAATACTCTGGAAGAACGTCCACTATCAGACACAGTAAGAATGGGTGTAGTCAGGGTTAATAAGCTTGCCAAAGATGAGAGTAACACCCATTTCATTTTCCCTTTTAACTACTTGATTTAAAACTTTTATTTCTTAAAAATCCATGTCTCTAAAATAGCAGAGAGTCAGGGATGGATCTTGAAAGGAAAGGTAAAGCATGGCATGGAGAAAGGGTGGAAAGAGGTGGACAACAATGCAGGGAGACCCAAAGGAGCAAATCAATAATTATACTTGCCCATTTTCCTTTCATAGGACTTTACTAGATGGGCTGAGGGATAGGCTATTTATTAATGACTTTAAAATAAAATAATTTGATTTACCCAAATTTTAATCATAAAGCTCTCAATTTTAACAGAAAAGTGAATATATTCCTTTCTTTGCTAAAGAAAAATATGATGTTATATCTGTGATAGGAATAAGTAAAAATCAGTAAGTGTTGGCACTGCTGTATTTCTACTATTTATAAAGCATATTGACATGCCCATCTTACCCACATGAGGTAACTGAGTTTAAGAGACCCATGTGGTAAAGTCACAGCTAAAGCTGGACTGTGTCTCCTGGAATGCTAACTCATTCCCACAGCTGCCAGTTCTTGGCACTGTGTCCTAGTCTAAGCTGGAGAAAAAGACGTCTTTACTGTATGTGGGTATAGCATACATAATTCATGGAACTATTTAACCCAAAATATGTTACAGGAGGCATAAAAAGCTTCAAACATTGGTCAGAGAAATTTGGGAATAATAGTTAATAAATATTTAATAATGAAATGTGGTCCACTGTGGAAATGACCCTGGTCTTTGAGGTACTCATGATCGAGTGTCACAGAGACTTCCAGGCCACGTTCCCTGGCTCTGTCATAAATGGAGTAACATCCTTGGGGAACTCTCAACAGCACAGGTAGCAAAGAAACTGGGTTGGGGCTTTAGTTTCCCAAAGGAGCAATAGCTATAATTTTTAAACCTCTTACTACTGAGAAGGCCCATAGGAAATCTCTACCATTTCTTAGCCAATTTCTATCTCTTTTTTCAGCTCCAGGGGACAACCATCAGCCATGCACTCACCCACAATGTCTTCAGCTCTGCACGGGCTCATCATGGTGGTCAGGGCAAGGGCCGCCAGGATCAGTGCTTTGTTGGGAATCATCCTCTTCTCAAGGTGGTCCCAGCAGCTGCTGCTCTGAGGTGCACAGAAATCGAGGACTGAGCCAACTAATCTGAAGAGGACCCAAACCAAACCCTATCAGGTCAGCATTTGGCCAATCAGAAAAATCCCCTATGATGACACCTCAGTTGCCAGCTGCAGAGCCTGTTTCAAGAGGCCCAGAGGCAAAAAAGGGAAATCCCCTGCTTCTGATGCCACTTCTAGAGTGTACCGAGAGAATTCTCCACGAGTGGAGGGAGGACACTGAATCAGAGCTTTCTCTCATGCGTGTGTGTCTGCGAGTAGCATGGGGGTGGGGACTATGGGTGGCCTCATGGATTCATGAGATCTTCAATAATAGTTGTCAGGATTTTCTGAGTTACAGTTCCCAGAAATTCTTCCCTGAGTTGATTCCCCTCTGTGGCAGTCCTCACCCCATTCTCGTTCTCTGGCTTCTGAATGTGGGTTAGCTGTGTTTCTTTGTGTACCCACAGTGCATATGGAGTTCTCTAGATCTTAAGTTGACTCGCCTACCCAGGTGATCTCTGCCAGCAGCAGCCTATTCTGCTGGTATAAACCCAGTTAGCCAAGATCTTTTCAAGTTCTCAAAAGCTTCATGTGTTTTTTTGTCAGGGCAGCAAAAGGGGTAATAATGCCATGAGATGCTGCCCACAATAACTGTATGAATTTTATACAGATTATTTTCCTCTTTTGAGTAATCTATATATTTTGTATTTTGTATTTTGGTGTCAAGACTTCTGCTGTCTTGCAGTAGTTGAAAGTGTTTCAAAAAAAAATGTAACAGAGTCCAGAGTATCAAAGTAAAAATAAGATGGGCTTAGTCATAAAATAAATAATCTTTTAGTACTGGCCTTGATAAGCTGCACCATCTTGGTAAAATTGCTCAAAATACCTAAACCTTGGAGCTATTTTTTATAAAGTGGGATGAAAACTATAACATGATATTTAATATCATGAAGTTATAAAAATGTACAAATGATAAAGTTCAAATACAAGGATACTTCAAGAAATTTATGATGAGAATTAAAAGATGAATTTATTTTGGTGCAAGCAATTTTTTTGAAATTCATACATTTTTTCCATAACATACATTTTCATGAACTTTGCAAAGATCCCTCACATAGTCCAGTGCCTGGCACATAACACATATTTTCAAGTGTATAATGACAAATATGCAGAATGCTAACAACAATAGTAACATCATGCCTACCCGGGGACAGCCTGTAACCTCAGCAGCTGAGCCTTCTCCCTGAGCCACTGTGAGTGTGTAGGAGCTTGTGAGGCACAGAAGCCCTAAGCAGTTGCTGGGAAACACACTTGTGCTCAGCGGGCTCCCTCACTTGTCTGCAGCATTCGTTCAGCTAGGATTCCTGGGCTTCTCGCCACGTGGGCTGCTGATCCAGCAAGGCTGGCTGAGGCTTGTTCCTAGGTGATAGAGGGCTCCCTCATTCACGAAAGAAAAAGCAGGGCCTCTTGAACTTAAAATTAGAACTGAAAACATCACTTCCATTATACTCTACCTGTCAAAGCAAGTCACAGTACCAGGTGAAGTCAGGAGGTGGATTAAGAAGTTTTCACCATTTTTTTACGATTTATCAAGCAAGTCCTCTGGGTAAATTTGCTGTCTGAGGGTTGAGAGTCTCCGTATTCAAAACGGTTTCCATCGACTCCTCCAACCTGTAATTTTATGTTTACTTTTATTCCATTGGAAAAGCAACTTTCTCAAAGGAGAGTGGAACGAAGGACTATTGAATTTCAATATGAAACATTGCTATGATTTATTCTCAAAATTTTTTTTCAGAATTTTCCAGATGAAAATATAGGAACTTGGAGAACTGTACGTAGTCATTTTATAGCTGCCAAGAATGCCATGTTGATGCAAAGGCCTGTGTACTGAGAGTCAGTCATGTGATCTCTTCAGTTACAGAGTTAGTGAAGCACATGACCTTGCAAAGGCAACAATTCTGTTTTTTACTCAACATCATTCCCACTGATTCTTTGTCACCAACAAGTCCTATGTGTATGAATTAGTTGATTTAGATGATTCTTTTAATAAATTGCACAATAAAAATAATGTGAAACAGAAAACTGCTCTCTGCTAATTTCTGTTTGAAAACATTCAAAATTACTTACATTCCCAGATCCACTTTTAGCTGTATAGCTCATGGCTACTCTTCAGCTAGACTGAGTAGTTTGTTTCATAAGACTCTGTGCTATGAGTGAAGTATGTAATCAACAAATGCTCGTTGAGTTGAATATAAGTTCTTAATTCATCTGAAGCCGGCTATGGAACAGACTGCCTGGAGACAAATGAGGTTCTTCACACCCTGTGCTGATTGGTTCTCTTCACAAGAATTCTCCAGTCATAATATACATACATATTATGAACATTCTTGTACAGAAACCTTCGCCTGACATGGCTCAGTAAAATAAATGAAAAAAAATCTTAAATTGAAATTTTAAATGCAATTATTTATTTTAAGTTATATATTTTAATCAAATGCCAACATGTATATTTAATGCATTTAGCCTAGATTTTTTTTTTTTTGACAGGCAGAGTGGACAATGAGAGAGACAGAGAGAAAGGTCTTCCTTTTGCCGTTGGTTCACCCCCTGATGGCCGCTGCGGCCGGCGCACTGCGCTGATTCGAAGCCCAGAGCCAGGTGCTTCCCCTGGTCTCCCATGTGGGTGCAGGGCCCAAGGACTTGGGCCATCCTCCACTGCCCTCTCGGCCACAGCAGAGAGCTCCCCTGGAAGAGGGGCAACCGGGACAGAATCCGGCGCCCTGACCAGGACTAGAACCCAGTGTGCCTGGCACCGCAGGTGGAGGATTAGCCTATTGAGCCACAGCGCCAGCATTAACCTAGATATTTTAAAATTATCATAAAGTCAGAACTTAAAAATACAGATGATCATGTAAGCAGCATTCTAATGTTTTAATAACAGACAATATTAGGGAAAAGTAATCCATATATGTGTAAAGTTTAGAAATTTTGAAAAATACTGCAAACAATAGAAATATCTTATAAAACTGTGTTTACAATAATGGAAGTTGAGTATTAGTTGTTCTTGCTTGACTGTGTTTCTCTAAAAATATTCCATTGGAAAGAAAATATTGGCAGGGATATGCTTGCACCGGCGAGATGGAAGAACTTGAGAGCTGTGGAGTGTGCACTGGAGAAAGAGGGTGGGGGCAGGGGATGCACCCAAAGCCATTTGACTTTTTCTTCCTGCACACTTGTTAGTCATGTATTAATTGTTACCTTTGAGATGTGGGAATGTTGGAATCCATGAATTTTTGCACTATAAGAATTGTAAAATAAAGTTCTTCATATGTTAGAAATATGGCATCACGGGGCCGGCGCTGTGGTGCAGCAGGTTAAAGCCCTGGCCTGAAGCGCCGGTATCCCATATGGGCACAGGTTCGAGTCCCAGCTGCTCCTCTTCTGATCCAGCTCTCTGCTATGGCCTGGGGAAGCAGTAGAAGATGGACCAAGTCCTTGGGCCCCTGCACCCATGTGGGAGACCCAGAAGAAGCTCCTGTCTCCTGGCTTAAGATCAGCTCAGCTCTGGGTGTTGTGGTCATGAGTGAACTAATGGAATGGAAGACCTCTCTCTCTCTGTAACTTTTTCATATATATAAAATAAATATTTAAGAAAAAAAAAGAAATGAGAGAGAGAGAGAGAGAGAACTTCCATTTACTAGTTTACTTTCCAAAAAGTGTGCCAGTCTGAAGTCAGGAACATGGAACTTAATCTATATCCCCCATATGGAGGCAGGATACCAAGTACTTTGTTCTCACTTGCTGCCTCCCAACGTGCCTGTTAGCATGAAGTGGGAACTGATAGTGGATCTGGACTTGAATGAATTCAGGCACTCTGATATGGGGTGTGGATGTTCCAATTGGCATGTTAACTTCTGTGCCAAATTCTTGGCCCAGAAAAGAATTTTTTAAAAAATAAATATTTAATATAATTAATTGAAAATATCTAACAAAATAATCTGATATTAATGACTGCATTAAATATAATTGATATAAATATACCAATTAAATGATAAAGATCAGAGTGAATAGAAATGGCCTAATTGAATTCTAATCTGCATAAAGATAATGCATTTTTTTATTTTAAAGATTTATTTTATTTATTTGAAAGACAGTTACAAAGAGAGAAGTACAGAGAGAGAGAGAGAGAGAGAGAGGTCTTCAATCTGCTGGCTCACTCCTCAAATGGCTGCAACAGCTGGAGCAGGACTGATCTGAAGACAGGAGCCAGGAGATTTTTCCAGGTCTTCCACGTGGGTGCAGAGCCGCAAGCACTTGGACCATCTTCCACTGCTTTCCCAGGCACATTAGCAGAGAGCTGGATTGGAAGAGGAGCAGCTGGGACTCGAATTAGTGCCCATATGGGATGCTGGCACTGCAGGCCGGGGCTTTAGCTCACTGTGCCACAGCACCAGCCCCAAATACTGGATTTCTAATAGATAAGCATAGCTACATGAATAGTAAAAGCAGAGGGAATATGTACCCTGTGAACAAAATCAACAGGAAGCTGTGGTAACTATGTCAATATTCAACTAAATGGGTGTCAGAACAGGAATATTCCCAGGGATAAAGAGGAACATCATCGAAAGAAAAATGGGCTTTAAATCCAAAAGACAAAATAATCATAAGTGTATATGTGCCTGAAAACAGGGCTTCAAAATATATTAGTCAAAACTGATAAAAATGGAAGGAAAAGCAGAGAAATTCAAAATTATAATGGAAGCATTTACACTCATTTCTCAGTATTTGGCAGAAAACTTAAAGTCAATGAGGACTTGTAATAACTGAACAGTGCTACCAACTAACTTGACAAAGTCTCATTTATAGAAAATTCCACAAAATAGCAGAAAACTTGCTGTTTAAATATGTGTAGAATAATCATCAAGATAAACAGTATGCTGGTGGCCAGAGGAGGTTGTTAAGGAAGGTATCCATGTGTCTTTGCTCTTTTTCCCTTATGTCTCAGACCAATTTAAAAACTTGTGTATGGTGAATGGTGGTACAGTGTGGGATGGTG